AGCAGTCAAAACGTGACAAAGAGCTGTATTCATAGGCATGTGATTGTGAACCTCCCACCCTCCCCTCCCCCCAGTGCATAACCCCTGTGCTGTGGCGACTTGTGAAGGGGTCCAACAGTGTGCCTGTGTGTTGATGTCAGCTCCGTAGGCAGTAATGTTCTGGTACGAATCAAGATGTTCCAGAAGATCTTCTGCGTGCCTAGTTTTGTTTATTATTGTGGTCAAAAAGCAACGCACACCTAGTTCAGGTTTAGTACTAATGGTTCATCCAAGTGCCATATTATTTGTAAATTTAACCTTACATTTTATGCAGCCCATGTAAACCTGAAACTAAAAAGGCTTTTATATTTTCTCTGTAGTCCCTGAAGAAACTGAATCATGCTAATGTAGTCAAACTGAAGGAAGTCATCAGAGAAAATGACCAACTCTACTTTGTGTTTGAGTATATGAAGGAAAACCTTTACCAGTTGATGAAAGACAGGTATTTTGATCAAGATTTTCCTTTACTGTCCCTTGATGTCTTGAACGTAAAAATTGTTTTTACTGTATTTATATTGTATTTTTGTATTTATTTAGCTTTTGATGAGTATAACGTTTTTTCAACTAATAGATATTTTGATGTCACTATAGTCAATATAATATAAATCACAAATTTAATCCAGCGATTGTATTGAATGTAGAATTGTTAGCACAAAGAATGCGTTAAGCCTTTGGACATATCCCTGTTTCCGCATTTTCAAGTAAGGATATAATTTTATTAATTATAATAAATATAGTTTACATACTGCAGAGGAACAAGTAAGAGGTTTATTCCTGCTGAAAAGAGAAGAAAGAAAACACAACTTAAGGCTCCAAAGCCGAAACGTTGTGTTTTCTCTCTTCTCTTTTCAGCAGGAATAAACCTTTACTTGTTCCTCTGCAGCCTGTGCATGCTGACGCAGCTCCCCACCTACTCTAGTTTACATACTGTACGGTATAAGCAGTCAGATAAATTATAAATAAACTCTATCTTTATTTTTTGCATTTATAGGAGTAGATTGTTCCCTGAATCTGCTGTGAGAAATATAATGTACCAGATACTACAAGGATTGGCATTTATTCATAAACATGGTATGGTTCACTGCACGCTTGAAAACATAACTGTTTGTATACTTGGGTTGGCATGTAACTCTTAAATAAAGAAGCTGAATGATAATTAATTGGAATGTGATAACAAAAACTGTCCTCTTCATTGCAGTTGAATGTATCGCTGTGAAATTATTTCCAGAATGGTTTAGGCCTTCATTAACTATAATTAAGTATTGATATAATAATGTTTGCCAGTGCTTTGTTCTCCCACTGATTAGTTCCATTTTACCATTGTGTTCATCCTAGGGTTTTTCCACAGGGATATGAAACCCGAAAATCTTCTTTGCATGGGACCAGAACTTGTTAAAATAGCAGACTTTGGCCTAGCGCGGGAAATAAGATCTCGACCTCCATACACTGACTACGTCTCTACAAGATGGTACGTTTTTGTTGCCGACTGGTTACCTGTGCCTCTGCGTGGGTCAAGACAGGCCTGTGACAAATTCTAAATGTGTGTTTGGAAGAAGGATCACCGTAGTACTACTGAGTGGAAAGGGCATTGTGTCGTGGAATTACCTCTGTACTTAAGAGCAAGTTTTACAGCAAGACTATGAATGCGTGCAGTTGTTGGAGGCTGGGGTTTTTATACAGTACACAATTGTCTCACACCTCGAGTCTGCTGCCAGTCTGGCTTGGCTGAGGCCTGCCCAGGCCAATAAAAAAGTCCCTTGAGTTTTTATTTCCTTCCCAAGATGGCCGAAGTTGGCGGTGCTTGTGTTGCAGCACAAGCTGATTATAAGACCTTCTAAAAACCATTATGATAGTACACTGAGGAAAAACAACGAGCAGCTGTATGGGTCTTCAGTTTTGTGCTAACAAATGTAACAAATTGAGAATGAAATGAGCTTTACTTTGTCAGTTAACAAGGTTTATTTTACAGAGCACTGGGGTCTTTGAAATGTCTTAGATATATAAGTCACCACAGGTAGAAAATCTCTTGGGTACCTGTTGTGTGAAATCCCAGTTACCCCTGTTTAAGGCTTTAGTTCAAACAATGACAGCTGTGATTTGTTTTAAGTGTGTTCAATGCCTCACAGTACACATGCTTTTAGTCACTTCTGACTTGTAGACTCGTGGCACTTTGAAGTCCCAAAAGTATTTAAATGGTTATAACAGTGAATGTGTTAGTGATGCAATATAGCCACTAGTGAAAACACCCGTTTTTTTACAGCCATGTCCAAATGTGGGAAGCATTGCTAATTGGGTCATGGGTTCGTTTTAGGACTGGGTAACCTGGTGTGTGGAATCTGTGTGCTCTCCCTGTATTCTTGCTTTTGTCTACTTACAGTAAGTCAGTTGATGTCTGTAAATTTGCCCCTGTGTGATGCGTGTGTCCTGAGATGGACATCTATGAACCCTAAACTTCTGGGATAGGTTACAGGTTTCTGTGATCCTTAGTAGGAATAAGCAGGCGTTCATTCCGATAATCTCCAACTAAGTAACAAAATCCAGAGTAGGAGATCAGAGCATTTATATTGACATCAGAAGCTACATGCAGAAAATATATGGAAAAAATAAATCAATTGCTTTGTGTTTCTCAGGTATCGTGCCCCTGAGGTTCTCTTGAGGTCCACCAGCTACAGCTCTCCTATCGACCAGTGGGCAGTGGGCTGCATCATGGCTGAGCTCTACACACTGCGGCCTCTGTTTCCTGGCTCAAGTGAAGTAGATACGATATTCAAGATCTGCCAGGTCCTGGGAACGCCGAAAAAGGTCATTATATTTAAAGCCTCAAAGAGGGTCTTCAGGAAGGGCTTTTATTACACTTTGCTTGTATTAGGAGTGGTTTTCCTGGCCTTTATAAGGTATAAGAATGAAAGCTTAGTTCCCACATATAAAAATGTTTTTAATGAACACACCATTCTTTTTGAGAATATAAGCACATTTGGTTAAAGTTCTGGATTTTTGGATCCACCAGTTCTGAAGGATTTGTCACGTTGAGATATTCTGGTACACTGAAGGTACTCCACCAGAAGAAAAGGTTCAGAAACTCAGGTTTGACAAATGTGCTGGCCAAGGCACACCACGATCAAAGCTTCCCTCATAACAGCTTCACGCATCTTGACGTATATGGGGAGAGAGTAAAATCCTGGCGTTTACTACCGCGGACCCTGGGAATGCTGTACAATAAATTAAATGCTCAATCCTTTCTTCAGGGCTCCCTGACGGCTGTCCATTTACTTCTTACTTTTTGTTACATAGTTCAGATTTAGTTTTTTTTCTAGATTTTTTTGGCTTCTTAAAACAAATCCAGAAGCAATAAAGGTGATGACGGAGGGTAGGCTGATACTTCGTTGTCTGTATAGTAAACCCTTGCTTTTACGGACTTCGGATTCAATAGACAAAATCTGTTAAAGGGGACTTTTGTCTGTCACATCAGAAATCCCAGCCTTTTCCTGCAATAATGGACACGATGTGTTACAGTTGGTGTAATTAGTCTAGGGGTGCGCAGACTGCTTAGTCTGCTAACCTGAGGGTTTACTGCACAGAGTCAACAGGCAAGAAGGAATCGCAGGCCTGTTCCCTCGGCTTCTCCTTTATTCCACA